TTATTGGTCCTTGATCTGCGCTTGAGTGCGATAATTGCCCTCTCTGTTTACTTTTTTTTTATTATCCCCACATCGAAGGTAAATAAAACAGGAAATCCCTTTCAAGGTGGTTATCTCAATTTCTGCTTTTCCCAGTGTTTATTTAGGTTGCATCAAGGAGTATTAGCACCCAAAATAGCCAAATCCCATATCCCAGAAAGAGTTGTTATGGGCAGACGTTGAAGTTGAGTTCTGAAGAATTTAATGTTATGAATAGAAATGAGTATATTTGATGGAAGACGTTGTTGTGAATATTCAATTCGTCGATGAAAGGTGCGACTATTGAAATTTGCGACGTTAGTGTAATAAGTTTTAAGAAAAGAGAAATTTAAGTCAAGAAGACTTGACAGTTGCAACATTAGTGTTTATTTATTTCTTTTTAATTTAATTGATCTCATTTATTAATTTCAATGGTATGATTAATTAATTAATCTAAATAATATGAGATATCGTGAGTGTCAATAAAGTTTTTTGTGTCCATCGTTTTGGCTACGTGAAGGCTCTTATTTCCTTAATTGTGAGGAAAGTGCTTTGTTTCGTTTATGTCAGCAAAATTTTATTATCTTAAACCAATGGATGCCTGTTTTTTTTCTTTTTGAAGAAAGGGTGCATTGAAGAATGAGAAACAAAAAACTTTATTGACGTGGAAAAGGAGACAATTTAGTTACCTACTAGGTTTTTGTAAGAACGTCGTAGGTAAATAAATTGTCTCAACTATTTTAACCTATATTTTTCTAGATGTAATAGTGTTTATAAACGCAACGATGTATTTCCTTTTGCTTTGGAAGAGTCAGCTGTGGAACTGAATCAGCGCTAAGGAGAAAAATGGACGGCGAGTTTATGTTAGTACAGCTTGGTAGTACCTTACAAACACAGAAATGAACACATATCAGAAACTCATAAGGGGTTGAAGCGTGTAATTCGCGTTCAATGCTCTTGAATATTCACTTTTACAATATTTGGAAACCATAGTGACAGATATCCATTTTTAACACAATGGCTGCTGCGCGATCACCATGCAGATGTTTTAAGACGAGAGTTGTACATTTCAGGCTTAAAAATACACCGTTAAAATGGACCAAAAAATGGAAAGAGAAAGTTGAAAAGAATGCTCAGCGTTCTTTTTGTGGAAGAAGGGAAGCTTTTCATCAAGAAATCGTCCTTCGAGGAATTGAACCTTGTTTTTTTCACGACGGATCTCTGGTCTCTTTTGAAATGCAAGTAACGCTGTGAAGTTGTTGCTGAATGTTCAGGTACATTTTGGACCCTATGGCCAAGAGAATGACGTTTTTGAAACGGAATTTATGTATTTTTAAATGTTTCATAGACGTTTTATAAATTTTTCTTTTCGCCGCTAATGAAAAATTACAACATGCGTGCGTGAAAATGACCCCACACGAGGAAGGCGAGAGGCAGTGGGGAGAGAGGAAAATGAGACTACAGTATTTTTTTCTCTACCCTCTGCGTGTCGCCTTTTGTCGCGTGGGGTGATTTTCACGCACGCTTGCAGTTCGCTCGCTCTACTATCTCTGAGGGTCTCCCTGAGGACAATAGTCTGCGTGACAGGCGTTAGAAGAGGAAGAGGAAGGGGAAATTCATCCCTTCCCCTTCCCTTTCGAACGCTTGCCATGCAGGCTCGAGCTATCGTGCTAAAAAGTCAAATGATTAACGTGACGTAAGAACTACATGACGCATGCGTATGAAGTGTGCATGAGCTTTGGCGTGAAGCGGAATTGAGATCTTACGATAAAAATGTTGCTTCGTGTGGATAGAGTACCAATTTTGCTTGGAGAAATGAGTTTTTGCCTGTTTAAATGTCGTAATATTGGTAAGTTTGGAGATTATTTAGTAGATAATGTAGTGATATTAGGTTAGTGAGGACTCGCTTCGCTCCAAAAGGGTACGTTTTTCAGGCTTCAGGTATATGAGCAAAATGAAAAACAATTATGTTCAAGGATACATGGTGGAGTAAACAGGAATGATTGGAACAATGTTGTAATGTCAAAAAGTACATTTTTGATGCTTCAGTGCATTCCCACTTTGTCATGGGTGGCATTACAGGTGTGGCAAAAATCTCCAGAAATTTGAGCAATCGTTAGTGCTCCTGTTGTCCATTGGGAAATTCATATTTACAAAAGCATAATGTGTAGAGTATGTCACTGTTTCTACCTGCTACAGGGCTCGAAATATTAACGCTTGTAAAATGTGGGTGATAGAGATAATTTATGAGTGAGAAAAATAATTATCTAGTAGGAGACATTTGTGAGTTCGAATCATCTATGCGTTTCGAAGAAAGGGAAAGAGTTTGGTAGTGGTCTCATCAATTTTCTAGTGAAAAAAATATTACTAGCAAAAGCTGCAAGTGTAGGAATAAGTTAACTTGAAGTCCTGCACTATGTCCTGGGGGTTGGGGGGCTGTCATTTCAATTAACTGGTGGATAAGCAAGGTCTTTATTTAGTA